ATCCACGTCTCCCCCTCCCCAACGGCTCCATCGCTGTTTTAGGAGGTCCTGAAGCACCTCCAGGGCAAGCTGGAGCAGGAGGCCCGAGTCATGGTGTCCTCGGGGCAGACGGAGGTGCTGGACCAGCTCAAAGGTGGGTGCCCGCGCAGGGTGGGGAGGAGGGGACCCCTCCGAGCCCACCCTGACAGCGCTGTCCCCATCCCCAGCCCTGCAGATGGACATCACCAGCCTCTACAACCTCAAGTTCGCCCCGGAGGTGATGAGCACGGGGCGCGGCGCCGAGGAGAGCCCGCCGGCCCCCGCCTCGCACCGGGACGGCCCCGGGGAGCTGGGCAGGGCCACCTTCCGCATGCTGGAGGAGCTGGACCGCGAGAGGTGATGGGCTGGGGGATAAAAGGGGCTGGGGGCGCCCGGGGGTTGTGCTGACGGGGGTCCTCCCCTCCCCGCAGGTGTTTCCTGCTGGGGGAGATCGAGAAGGAGGAGAAGGAGAAGGTCTGGTACTACTCGCAGCTGCAGAGCCTGGCCACGCGGCTGGACGAGCTGCCCCACGTGGAGACGGTGAGTGGGGGGCACCCCCTGTGTCCCCCCCACCGCAGGCCACGGGGATCCTGCCCCGCTCACGCCGCCCCCTGTGCCCCCCAGTTCTCCATGCAGATGGATCTGATCCGGCAGCAGCTGCAGTTCGAGGCGCAGCACATCCGCTCGCTGATGGAGGAACGCTTCGGGACGGCCGATGAGATGGTGCAGCGGGCTCAGGTCGGGCCCTTCACCCCCCAAACTCCCTCTGCTCCCCTTCTGGGGGGCTCCAGGCTGATGGGAGCAACCCTTGGCACCCTGACGAGCAGCTCTGGGTAGCCTGCAGCAGCTCCTCACACCCTCACACCCCGTTCCGTGCACACTTACACCCCTCCCTCCCATTTCTTGCGGCTCTGGGGGGTCCCAGCCCCTCTCCAAGCCCCTCTCTCTGCCCCCCCAGATCCGGGCATCCCGGCTGGAGCAGATCGACAAGGAGCTGATGGAGGCGCAGGACAAGGCGCAGCAGCCGGAGCCGCAGGTAGCGGGGCCGGGGTGTCCCTGCTCCCGGCT